ATACATTATTTTTATATTTATGTATAATAATTTTAGTATAAATTTTAATACGACAGCAATACAGGCACGTTTTCTCTTATTAGTTAACAACTCTTAAAAATTACAGACAATCGGAAACATTCGTGTAAATAATATATACGGGCACTGTAAATCTAATTGTTTTTACTTTAGAAAAGCTTCAGTGATAATTATTAGCTATCGATTATTTAAACACTTGAAGTGTTTGAATATTACGTATTCTATGCTAAAACGATTTTAAAAAATGGAACAGTCGAGCTTTGCACGAATAGTTATTATTTTGAAGCATAGAGTGACTTTTTAAATTGAGGACCTACATTGACGTTTCGAGGGGTAATTAAAAATTTAAATTAAAACATTTAAAATAATTCATACAAAGTTTTGCATACTTACGAGGTTGTACAAGTTATTGTACATGTGGTGTTCTAAATTATTTATGAGGTTATTCTCATTTCGTTACATTTTAACCATATTTTATTGAATCAAAAAACAGTTTATGTATGCATATTCGTAACCTAAGCAACATTAGAAGTAAGAGAATTGAGTGATGAACGTTTAAAATATTTACTTTTTGTAGCTTACAATTTAATTTTGAGAAAAAAAATTTTTATCATCTACCTGTGTTAAGTATTAGCGTATCAATCATGAAGAGTCCTGTGTATTAAATGGTAACAAAATTTACAATTTTAAGATCAGGTACTGTTGATAACTAAAATTATTTAATTCAGAAAAAAATCTGTTTGAGAAGGTACTAAGTAGTATTATCATAGTATTTTCAATGTATTGCAACATAATACTCTTACAATACAGTTCATAAAAAAATTAGTAATAAAAAACATTAACTGTTAGTCATCCCAACCAAGTATACAATGTTGCATTTTCCGTCCTCAACTACTAGTGGTTAAATATGACCTTGTATTTTTTCCTGACATTTTTGAAAATATAACATATAGTTTAAATCATCGCTTGAGTCAGAGGTGCATTCGTCACGTGATGTCCCAAATCGTCATTAAGTTTATCAGTTTGTTTTCATAAGAAAACAATACAACAACTGTAAATTAAGTTTTTAATTAAAATATACTAATTGTTTCTTGACAATCGATGTCTCATTGGTGAAACAAAGAAATAAAGCCTTGTTGGAACAAAACCGAAGTCATACATCCAAACATATGTGTTTACAAACATTTTCTAGAAACATATTTTTACTTAACAGTATGTTGTGTTAATGGCATTTTATTTCACAAGTGAGTTTTTTGTTTTTCCTTCCGACAGAAAACTACTTCCATCAATTTATCATACGTTTCACCAAATATTTTTAAAAACAAAGGAAAACGGAGACGATTACAAGTTTCCAAGATTCACGTATAAGTAACGTAAGCGTACAAGCACACCTGCGCGCATTCTATCTCTAATATTAGAACGTATATTATGGCACATGCTTCTGTACACAAGATACGAGAGCCTGTGCCCAAGACTTGCAAAACTTGCGAGAATTTGCACGCCTCGAGTGTTGTGTTTTCATAACTTGCGGGAACGTGAAATAATACATTATCCCACGAAGGAAATGTAAATATATTATTTAAATAGTGAATTTAATAGGATCCCCTTCGTAAACACAACTGCTGTCAGTCGAGGTGGTTCTTTTCTTTTCACGGTACTTATTATACGTACATCACACCAACATCATATTATTGCGTCAGTTTTACGTTTACGTATTCTTTCTAATTAATTTACTAGGTATACAAACAACACATCGATAAACAGCAGGTGCGATTGGTGCGAATGACACGCTACTCGATGATCCGGAAGTTGATACTAAATTGTTCAATAACATTTTTGAACAATTTACTGCAATCACATGTAAATTAAACATGTAAAATACACATATTGCACTATGTTATATAGAAAAACCTCTTACTAGAAAAGCCCAACGGCTTAAGGAAATCTTTTTTTTTCCGATTTTCATTCGATCGTTCGATGATCGTTGTTAGCTCCTGTGAGAACAAACGCATACGAAACGTTCCAGCTTCTGCAGTATACGTTCCTTCATAAAGTATAAACGAACGTACCAACCAACCATTGTCCATTATACAAATAAGTTGTCGGATAAAAATAAATAGTGTTTCCATTATACGACGATTAAAAAAAGTTTGCAACTCCCTTTGTTAAGTATTCTCTCTTTGTCTCTCTTATTTTTTTTAAATTTATCTTGTATCAAGTGTCTCAATGACGAATAAGTGAATCGGCCACATAATATCATGTACATGTGTTTTGTATACCTTGAACAGCTCAACACCAGCCTTCCTCATAGGTGATCGCTGTTTGCAGCAGTGTAACACGTAGGTAATAATGTATTCGTATATTGTATTGCTGTACCTTGATTGAATGCTGCAAGAATATTGGTAAAGGTATTATTTTTAACTCCAAAGAAGCGTGTAGATTTACGAAAATAAAATACATGGCACTGGAAATTACAAGAGTTATTGAAATAAAGGTGTATAGGTACATAGACTGATGCATAATTATTTTATGGATTTCAACACTGAAGGAAAATTATTTTTTCTGGATAAAATGTATTTTTTCTTTTTTGTAAAAAACGTTTTTATTTATCATCATTCGTAGTACAATGTTGAGAAACAATTTTTTTTAGCAAATAAGTGCTGTTAATATTAAATATTAAAATTTACTGTAAAGTCCTCGAAATACAATATTTAAACATTTTTTTAAATACTTTGACTATTTCTCTCTTCTAAATTGTTTTTTTCATTCATATGCAAAATTTTTGTCAAGCACTACGTTGTGAGATATAATTTAAAAAAAATTGTTTTAATATAACTATCAAAGAATTTGAAAAAGTATTCGTGCCCAAGTCTTTATATACATTATTTTTACATTTATGTATAATAATTTTAGT